ATCCATTTGAGATTGTGTGGAAGTCATTCAGCCTTGTATTCTTTGCGGTAAGCATCCATACTTCCATCTTTCTTTTTTTTAGTTTAGCGGTAAGAAATTTTTTCCCCATATGGTCTCACTTAAAGGGCCCTTGATAGGGGGGATTTTGACATGGTCCTCTGTGCGGTTTTTGCTTGAATTCTTGGGTCCCAAAGCTCCAGTATGTTCTCTTGTAGTTTTAAGCTCAAGACTTCACCTCTGCACCTTGAAATTGTCATTAAAATTGTAGTATAAACAATTGGATACAGTTGCAGATTTTCATATTCGTGCACAGTTATTCCTTGTAATAGCTGGCAACTTCACTGTGAGACAGAATGTTAAAAGGTGTTATTTTATGAACCAAAGTGCCCAATTTCACCATATCCTAAATGGTTCTAGGAATGGGGAGATCGCTCGATGCTTGCAACAATTGCTCTTGGAGCTGCGCAGATGCAATTTCATGAACTGTTGATCATATGATGTAGTCTCTTCACAATTGAGAATCAATCACAGTATTGCTTCTCCCCTTTGCCCTTTCTGCAGTCTCCATGGGGCGTGGCAACAGGAGCCATTGCTGGACACCTGGTTGCAACATCCATTGCGATTCTAGGAGGAGCCTTTCTTGCAAACTACATTTCAGAAAAGCTGGTAAGAGCCGCAACCATGCATTTATAGGTTATCATAAAATATTGCTATTGATATTCTGTATTCTACGCAATTCACTCTGCCTTCAAATCAGGTTGGCTACTTGGGTGGAGTGCTGTTTCTTGTTTTTGCTGTTGCCACTTTTTTTGGCTTCTTCTAATGAGTTCATTGGAATCAAGAGAAACAGTTTTCAGGCAGCCATACTGCCTGCGGATGTTGGACAGCATTAGTTACTAGGGAAAAGATAGCTGACGAGAAGGAGCAAAATATGTGCCTCGCAGCTCTATGACAGAGATTCATACCAAGACCCCAACTTAGGTAGTGTAATTCATGTTGTAATACTTGAGAATTCAGTTGAAACTTGGAAGGGCGAATCTGTGTATTTTTCACTGGATGCAGAATTAAATCCTCTCTCATGAGTAAGAAACTGACACTTTAGTATGCTCTATTTTGCTGGTTGGTCTTCACGAGCTAGTCCCACGATTCAAAAGTTTCCGTACGTACGCGTTACTGTTCCTCTCAACATCTTAACAAACGCCTCAAGTCATAGCATGTAAAGGAGAAAAGGCCAGCAGATTATTGCAAAACTATGTTCAATGGATTCTGACTGTAGATGCAGTGTGGCTGGTTGTCATTTTTTTGGATAAAAGATGATATAACTTCATTAAGATCTCTCATAGCCAGTAAGAAAATGGCTATACAGAGAGAAAGAAAGAAAAAGGTACTTTACAAACTAAATAGTAATAAATAAAACAATATCCAATATCCTATTAACCACACAAAGATATAACAAAAACCAAACATTGAAATTAAAAAACAAACCAAAACCAAGTAACTAGATCTTTTTATGTTGTTAAATGATCTATGATATAATTCTTCATTTAATATAAGTAAAAAATATAAGTAAAGTTTACAATAAAAAACATATTATAAAAATTTCAAACATTATTAAATTTACCTTACAAGCATCATGACATTATGATATTATCATGATGCCATGATATTGTGATTCTTCATCCATGTAATGATATTATATGAATTAGACTTTATAATTTAATTTTTATCAAATTTCTATCGAGTATATACTTTTCTAATTGCCAAAATCTCAATCACATTTGATTTTTTTATACTTGCTGAATAAAAGAAGACATATAGAAAATTTCCTTAATGTTCTCTTGGAACCCTAACAATGCCAGAGGGATCTAGTTTACCATTTGAAGAACTATCTAAATTTCATTTTAACATCCTTACCGGAGGTGGTATCTAAGTCAAATTACTTCAAATTCTGGTCATGTTGATCCACATAAGAAGCTCATCAGGTACTGGTCCAAGCAAATCTATTCTAGAATAGAAAAATCTTTCACGACCATATTTTGCTTAAGTTACAACTTCATAGAAAATGGAATGATGTATAGATATCATCCTAATAGAAAACAATCTCATTAAAAACCAAATAATTTCAAGCATTCTAGACAGAAAAACCTATTCTCTAAGGAAAAATCTTGTGGGTAATTTATTTAAAATAGCCAGCCAAAGATTAAAATGCATCCAGGGAGAGCAAAAAAGGACTAGATATCTGATTAAAATAGTTTATCAATAACTGGCAAAAGAATTGTCTCTAGGATGGTCGAACAACTTTTAACTACAGAAAGCCTTTGGGATCTGACTTCCAAATCTTTCAATCCTTGACTCGTACAAATTTTAGATAGCGCATCTGCAATAATTCCCTTTCCTTAAACATTTTCCAATCCCAAAATCTCCTTCGCCATGTTAACTTAACTTTCATTCTCATTTGATGCCATTCCATGTTCTAATATATGATACCATATCATTATAATCCTCACAAACAACATAAAAACTATGATAATTGTTTTTAAAGACTATATCTTCTAATCATTTTGAAGTTCCGGAGGGAGTTTTAGTATTTTTTTTTCCTAACAACCACTAAAATTGCATCTTACGAGGCAAATGAGCAATCTTAAAGAAACAAGCAATCAGGAAACAATCAGATTGCACAATTAACATTCGTGTAAAGAAAAAATAAAGAATTAAAACCCTATTTACAATTCGAACCCCTCGCACAAATCAAAAACTTAAATCTACAGTTTTCAAGAAGACATATATTGCATGAAAAAGATGTACAAAGAGGGACACACACACATACATTAAAACCTAACAGGCCATCGTCGATGTATAGATGGTTGGTACTGAGCCATAACAAGCAACTGAAGGATCAAAACAGCCACAAACCACGGTGACATTCTCTCAAAGGACAAGTAGGGTTTGGCTATCATTTTCTGCCCACACAAGCCTTTGAATGAAGATAAACATTGTATGATAAACAGCATGGTTATAGGCGTGGCAGGAAGCACCCATTGGAACGTCATCCGATATTCTGGACCTTCAGCCTCAAAGGCATGCATAGATGTCACAAGAAGAAAGATTATGGCAAAGAGAAAGAGAAGAGCTTTGTATGGAAGAGGTTCTAGAGAAAGCATCTCTAGGGCACAAGAGAGCTTGCTTCGTCTATTTCTGTATTGCATCACTAGCTAGCTATACGATCAATCAATGACTTTTGCTTGATCTTAATTTTTCTTGTCTTGAAGGGATCAACCAAACTAAGCACTGGGCTGGTTATTTTTTGATGACGTTGAGAGAGATTAAAGATATGCAAATGTGTCGGCAATTTACAGGGAAGTGAAGATTTGAGATTTCTCGGTAAGTATATCGGAGTAAATATTTCTATGAAACCCTAGAATATCTCAGGTTCCTTGAAGAATAACGGGTTTTAAATATCCGTGTCGTCTTTACGCGGTACTTGTTTCCAAAAATAACTGGGAGAAAGTGGGATTTTTTCCCTATAAATCTGGATGAAATAACCAAAATAAAGCTGTGAGATTCATCAATCAGTTTTGATTGGGAAGAGGAAATCTTTCTCTGATTTTCAGTTAATATTTTAAATAAAACAATATTTTTCAAGTTTTTTTATTTTTCCATGAATCTACAAGCCTCTATTTTCGGCCAAGATTGTTTATTTATGATACTCGATCTTAATTGGATTTCTTTTAGAGAATGATAATTCTGGCGTGTAAATTCATTTATTTTTTATTTGATTGTGTATCGATTTTTCTTTTAATTTAAGTGTATATTTTTTTTTATTTTTTTCTCTTTTTCTAATCAAGTGTTTCTATTAGATTTTATAAAAGATATATCCATGCAGCCAATAAATCAACACGTTGGCATGTTAAAATGTCAACTGCATAAATATTTCACTTTATTTCATACTGAGTGTAGTTTTTTTTTTTAAGTACTGTGTGTATTTATTTATTTATTTGAGTGTTCAAAAACTAATCAATTAAGTGTTTTTAATCTTAAAAGCTAAAAAGTATTCACTGCGCATAATTTAAAATAATTTATGTTCTGACACCCTTTGTTGTTATAATAATTTAAATAAAATCTTAAAATACTTTATTAATTACTTCAACCTTCAATTTTAATTAATTTGGTCTGGTCTAAGATTGCACAGTTTATATTCGTTAAAAGTCAATAGAGCTCAATAATAAAATTTTAAAAGTACAAACATTCAAAATAAAAAAATAAAATAAAATACATCCTCAAATATTTGGCATTCAGACATTAACATCCAATCTGTCTCTTTAAATTAACACCCGAATCATGTATGGTTTTCTACAACCAAGCTGCTTCTTACACTATAGTTGTAATATGAGTCTATGTGTCTATTGACATGTTCAGTATAATGGCTTTGAAAATGCAGGTGAGGGTCCATGGCTTATATATTTGCTAACATAAACATATAGTGCAGAATTAGAGGGTATTTAAATGGGTATTGCATGCATGTGATCCTGAGTGGAAGATAAATGAGCTCAAGTCCCGTAGAAAAGAGCTCTAGAGAGGTGACCTAAGAGGTCAAACCACATGAAACTCAATCAAATTTATTCATCGGGCTGATGGAAAGAGGATGTGTTCTTAAAAATGCTCTGAAATAAAAACTTTGAATAGGTTGTTTTTAAAATGTTTTTTATTTTAAAATATATTAAAATAATATTTATTTATTGTTTATTAGAACATTAAAATAATTTTAAAATATCATAAAAATTAAAAAAAAAAAAAATTTAAAATTTTATAAAATAATAATAAACTATTTTTAATACACACACGCACGCACGCCCGATGAGAAACGGAGATAAAAATAATAGAAGGATTTGATTTTAAGTGAAATATAGCTGAGGGGGTCAAATTGAGGATTAGAAGTTGAGGGATCCAATATCACATGACTTAAAATTCAAGGTTGCACTTTTTTAGCCTGCGGCTGATTTGCAGAACATATTATTCTCCGAACCACCCGATCTTTGGTACATCTGCAACAGCAGGGCACTGGTTACCTGAACCCGAACTCTTTCACCTGCAACTCCCTCCCTGTCTCCTCGGCCATCCAGGAAAAACCATAGCCAGCAGAAGCAGCGACACCTCCTAAACAAATAACAACCCACCTAGAAATATACGGCCTTTTTTGACTCGAGAGAAAGAAGCATAAAAGAAATCCATGGAACCCAGCAACCTCAACAAAGAACAAGACCAGAACTCGTGGGCCCTTAATGCTTGGACCCTTCTCTCCAAACTCCGTGACCAATCTCCACTCATACAGTGCATCACCAATTTTGTTTCAATGGACCTTATGGCCAACACTCTCTTATCTGCTGGTGCATCACCAGCCATGATACACTCTATAGAAGAAATTCAAGACTTCACTCCCCTTATCCACGCGCTTTGTATTAACGTGGGTACACTCTCTCCTGCCTGGTTACCGGCCATGAGGGAAGCTGCTCTGGTAGCTAATAAAGCAGGGAAGCCTTGGATTCTTGACCCTGTTGCTGCCGGAGCTTCTTGTTTCCGGTTGAAGGCTTGTTTGGAGCTTGTGGGGTTGAAGCCCAGTGTTATTAGAGGAAATGGGTCCGAGATTATTGCTCTTTCTAAGGCTTCTTTAGGAGCCACTAAGGTATTGGATTTTTCCTTACAGTTGAGTTTATAAAAGACCAATTCAATTCAGCACCATTGTGAAAATTGCAAAACTTGAATTGCCTTGCTTGAAATTGTTTTTTCTTGGATGAATACAACATGGGACTCTTCAATTTTTTGTCAATTTCTTTTGCGTTTTTATGTTAATTTCAACTTCATGATTGAGTTTTATTTTCAAGGGTGTAGATAGCTCTCATGAGTCAATGGATGCAATGGAAGCAGCAAAGTCCTTGGCTCAGTCAAGTGGGGCCATAGTTGCTGTCTCAGGAGCTGTTGATATCATTACAGACGGCCACCGAGTTGTTGGTGCTCATAATGGAGTCTCCATGTTGCAAAAGGTCACAGCAACAGGATGTGCTGTCACTGCCCTTATTGCTGCATTTGTCGCTGTCGATCCATTGCATGCTTTGGAAGCAACAGCTTCAGCATTGTCCATATTTGGCATTGCTGGGGAGATGGGAATGGACATGGCCAAAGGTCCTGCGTCATTGAGAATGCACTTGATCGATTCCCTGTATAATCTTGATCAAGCTTCTGTATCTTCTCGCTTAAAGGTTTCCAGTCTATGATGACACTGGAGGAGCTCTACAAAGATGGTATGTCAAACAATAAAACAATCTATTTGAGATTTTGGGCTGTATTAGTGCTCATAGATTAGTGATACAATAACTGGCCGCCATTTACAACTTTAACCGCAATAAATGTTTTGTATCAGGCAATGATCTGGTAACTGATTCGCAGCTTTTTAGAAAAATGAGCTGCTGTCGTCTTGTGTGGATTCTGAATTGCTGCCTGGGATGGTTTGTCCTCCTTCCCTCCCTCGTGGGAGAGGGATGATGTCATCCTTGTCTGCTACAATTGTTCATAAAGAACTTATCAAATTCATGGAGAACATACGCTGATTTGGTACTTCTTAGTGTGAAATCTGGCATATCACCATTACTCTTTTCTAAGGCGTTCATTCAGTAAAGAAATTTCCCTTTTTATTCTTGTCATCTCAAACACGATCTTGGTGTTTCAGAAAAGCTTGAATTTTGTAAGCTTTTTCTTTAGATTTGTACCTCTAGTTACCAAGTCGGACTCAGATGTCTCTGTTGAACACAGAAGGGCGTCATTACTGTTGGTTTATGTTCTTGTTTACTTTCTCTTTCCTGTTTTGCAATTTGTTTGGCTTTTCTGGTGATATACGGATTTGAAGTAGGAAATCTTTTATATTCATAGGGAAAATCAACCAAGATCATTTAATATTTTCATAATCAACATTTCAGTTGCATTGTCTGATACATCTGACAGTATGAGAGTCTATTAACCAAGAGTAACCACAAACCATGACCACATAAATTTTCACGCCAACAAACCAACATTTAATCCACTTAACTTGTATTCTTAGTATTTCAAATGGACAGCGATCCTAAGTAATGTTTCTGCACCATCCATGACGGCTTGACCTGATGGGATAAGTCCATCCATGACTGCTTGACCTGATGGGATAAGTCCTCGTACTTCAGCAAACCCGATAGCATTCTTAAACTTGCCCGTTCCTCCAGTCACCGACAAACGTGACATTGCGCTACCAATCCTGTATATGCCATAAAAGTTTAGGCTATCACCAAATTCTCCCCCTTCAAATATGGCTGTAAATGCCATCATCTGTGCGCTTCCATCTGCAGAACTAGCCACATAGACTCCTTGAGCTTTTCCCAGTTGTTGTGACCCTAACTTAGGGCTGTTGGTCAAAGTGTCATCGATGACAGTGATCGTTCCAAAGCCTAGTCCCAATCCGTCTGGTCCAAGTTGGGTTTGGATCTGACCATTCGTGTCCTGACCATTCGTGTTCTGACCATTAGGATGTCCTGTAAAAGTCGTGCCAGACAAGCCAGTACCTAGTGGAATGCCATTGAGACCATTAACAGTTGGAAGGGCACCATTGGCATTGGGGATGGCTACTGCACCTTCTGGAGGAACGAATCCTACTGGCCTTGCAAAGGGTACTTGGCCACTATATATGTTCCCTAGCAAACCAGTGATTGGCCTTGCTGTAGGGTTACTGCCCCCTAGAATGTCATGCATGTACAGCTCAAGAACGGGCTCTCCTCCAGCTGGTACTGGTTCGATGGCAGCCACATATATTGCTGTGTGTAGGGCAGCAATTAGCACTGCAATGAAAAAATATGGAGATGACAGCTTGAACATCTTGTGATTTTTGTATATGAGATTCCTGGAAGTCTGTCAGATGTGGTAGATGGAGGACTCTTGAAGGACTATGCAACTGGTTTGTAGTTCTTGATGTTTAAATAGAAGGTTATGAAAAAACTGAGATAGTAGTTGTAAGGCTTCAGAGATGATGAAGTAGTTGGAGTGTGTTAGTTGTGGCCTTATAGGAAGTGGAAGTCATTCTGTTTTAGTTATATCTTCATTTTCTTTAGAAATATAGCTAATACTCAGAAGTGGAGTCCGTACACAATAAGTTCTTCAACACTATGTATCACCAACAAAATCAACCGATCAAATCACACCCATTTGAAATCATTAGTCTTTTCCCCTCGACTGGTTTAGTTATAGGTAGATAAAGGTGACAAGTAGTTGGTGTTTTGCGAGTTTGACCCAACTCTGAACTATCCCTTTGGAGGTTCTCATTTCTGGGAAACCATACTGGCTGGCCTTCTATGCTAGTTTGGACCGTGTTTTTGCCAAAGATGAAAAATTTTGTTGCCCTGTTCCCAGATAACATCATGATATTTTAGTGTTTGTTTATATTGTTTGCAACTCTTGGCATACATTTCAAGTGCAACTGTATAGTTCTCTGTGCATTCTTTTCTGCATTGATCAAAATATTTTGCAAATGATGTAATTACCGAATCCTGTCGCTAGGAAAGCTAAACAGTAAATTTGCTACCTAGCACTCTGAAAAATTCCATGCCCACGTTCGACTGTAAAATAGAATCTTCCCACACAATCTACGATCCGCATCCAAAAGTCTACGAGCCATTATCAGGTATTCTCTATCATGTCTGCATAAGATACAATCTTCGGAATTATGAGGAACTGCCTTTTTAGAGTTTTCTGTCATGCTTCATTGTTTACATTGTGGAGTTGGTGCAAATAGGTGATAATTGTTCAGTTGATCCCTCCTAAGATTAGATCTGGAGTGGGTGGTTGTCGAGAAATTTGCTCAAAACACGAGATAAAAATATTATTATCTTGCAATTGTTATTAGCTAACATTCCATTTCAGTGCTGTAATCTGTTTGTTTTAAAGCTCTTTTTCCTCCTGGGGCAATGTTGTACAGTGATAAAAGGTTCAAGCCCATCAACAAACAGAAAGACATCGTCACCAGCATGTACAATTTTATCAGGAACATGAAAATAATAGTTGATGAACCTTAAAATTCTTCATCCAAATATAAAAATCTTATGGCATATGTTCTTTATTATTTGGATTGTGTTGTGAATATTTTTTTTAGCTTTTCTCTTCCTTCAAAATTCCTTTGGCATAAGTTCTTTATTAGTTGGATATCACAAGAACTTTTTTTTTTGCAGCTTTCTTTTTTCTTTAAAATTCTTCCGGCACAGGTTCCTCGTTTGCTGGATGTTACATGAATATTCTTTAAATACATATGGCATTCAGGGAGTAGTTGAAAAGCACTTTATATGGGGATCCACCGGAGATCACATAATCACAACCTTTCCAGATTGTGATGTTCTCCATTACCGCTCCATTTCTATATCCTCTCCTGCTAACTGAAAGCTCAATAATCTGTCATGTTACTTCGAGTATGTGGCACTAGCTGACAAAACCAAGACCTTTGGGGGCTTAGCTTGGATAGCGAGTGAGCATGCTCTTCCACTTTCAAATATTATCAACCAGAATTCGAATCTTAGAAATGGCTACAAAGAAATTTTTTTTTTTTTTTTTTTTTGTGAAAGCATCAATTAGATGTCGGTCATAGGATAGGTTGCTTAAAACCCAATTTTTCAATGGGAGCGGAGCTTAATCTCTGTGTGCGAAATATGGCCAAGAATACCTTCACTGTTGGGGAAGAAAAAAAAGGTCATTTGTTAATATAATTAGAAGGTCAAATGTGAAATGGTCCAGGCAATTGACAATTTTAGCTGTCTCTACACAGTTCATCCTTCATCAACAAACATGAAGCCTCCATACGCTGACTCAGATTTCCATGCATACAATATTCAATGCCAGATTTGACTTTTGAGACCTTGAGTTCCCAAAGACACGCACGAGATGAGGGAATGCTTATTGCAGGAAAGGAAATCAGGGTTAACTAGATGCAAAAAATGGTACATGATCCATTGATTTTGTGGTTTTTACGTGTTCTTTGGGTTTTGAGCTTAGGATGCCATGAATCTGCCTATAAATAAATGGTGAGGGAATAACAAGATAAACCTAAGTGCAAGGGAGATATGCTACAATTTCAAATGCTGAACGAGATCACGGCTAGGCTACATTAACAACAGTCTGTCTAACTGAATCTTCATGATCCGTGACTTCGGTCTGTCTTACAGTTGGGGAAATCAACTTCCATACTGCACAAGCCAGAAAAAAGAACCAAGAAAAACAGAGATTATTTGGGGGAAAAATTATGATTCAAGACCTCTAAAGTTATGGTTCCATTCATGTGGGAACTTGGAAATTTTAGAGTAGGGCTCGACCGAGGGAAAGATAAATCTCCATCATATAATCAATCCGAAGGAAAAACACCAGTGGATAGATTCACTTACAGTATATTGTTGCTGCAAACCACTCATTCACTATTTTCACCCATGTACTTGCCCAGCCAACATCAATGCTCCACCTTGAACGGTTAAAGTGATTTAGGTAAGAAATTCAGTTCATAAAAAATAATGTGATGACTGGAGGAGTTCAGAAATCTAGTTCCCTTACTTTCTTGCTGAGTTGTTCAGGTTCCAACTGATGAATAACATTCCAAAGTACATGGCCCCGAAAGCAAATACAAGGTGGAAAAACCCATAATCATAAGAGATATCATCATCCTCTTGAGCATTATCATTGCGGAACTGAAAAACATGTGAAGAGCAAACTATCTCTTATCAAAATGACAGACATCAGAAGTAATTATCAACCCCTTGCAGTCATAGCGCAGCATTATTTCATGTTATATTTTTGCTCATGTACTGGTAAATTGCTAACAAACTAACGAGGATAGGAATTGGTAAGTGTTTTTTGATCCATCTCAACCAAATCAATTACTTTTACAGCGTGATTGGGGATTCACTGACTTGAAATGGAATTGAATGATCTAACTTTGCAGTGCTAACTTCAACAGAGGAAAGCAATTTACCTGAAATGATTGTGAATCAATCCCTGTGGAAAATGTGGCCATAACAATGGCACCAATTGCGAACAGGAAACTCTGGAAGAATACAAAATAACACAAACATAAGTGGATCGAAAAATGGAAACAAATAGCTAGGAGGACACGGGAGTTTGAGATGCTGATGCAACAAATAAAAGATATGGAGTACAACACCAAGAAAGATAGTAGTGCAAGTTATACATGCATGGTGCGTTTATATCTCTTAAAGAATAGATAAAGAATGAGTTATGAGTTTTCAAAGAATGATAATTGTCATACTCCAATCTAATTTAATGCAGGCCAATGGTGCAATGTCTGCCCCGTTGTATTTTATGCATGCAAATGCAAATTTAAATGGTCTAGTTTACAGTTTGCACGTGAGCTTAGTCTTCTTATAGAATTGACTGCAAGAGAACTTTGATTTTGAGGGAGGAGGCTGTATCACCCTGGTTATAGTGATGCTGAAAATGCCCAGTCGAACCTGAATAGTTTTTACCACTATGCTATGGAGCGAAGAGGCCAAAACCCTCCTTTTACATATCTACTTTTTTGGTGATACTAAATGACAAGGAGGTTATATTTAGTTGCCATGTTTAACAAATGATGCCTCAGTGGTGTCCATGATTGTCAAGTTAATAGTTGGATTTGGAACTATTATTTGCAAGTCCACAAAAACAGAGCTGCAGAATCAAGCAACATCAAGTAAAAGCCAAAACATGATTTAGCACAACTGTTCTGGAAACACCAAACAAGAGATATTGAAGAGAAAGCAGAGATATTGTTTGGTCTTACAAGTATGGTGGTCCAGTCACTATTTCCATTTGCTTTTTCTTTGTTGCAATAATCACTGGCGGGTTCACTGTAAAGCCATGAGGTAATTGCAGAAATTAGTATCATGTTGCTGGAGAAAATCTTCAAGTTTTGAGCCAGTTAAAAGGGGCCATAACAATAGATGGGAAAATGTGACATCAATCCAAGTGTCAGAATTTCGAGTGTGAAAAGAAAAGCAACTAATTAGGATTTTGAAGGCGAGATGTTTTGAGATTTAAAGGTAAGAACTTCAATCCGTTCCTTTATGGAACAACATTGGTGCCAATATCCTACCTTCTTATGGCAGACCAACAGAGGAAGACAAGGTATGAAGCCATAATCCCAGAAGACAAAAGGCCTCTATTTACCTGTACAAAATGAACAAACAACAATCAGCAGATTTTCATATGTAAAACCTGAGCAGAAGACAACTTCTTGACCAGATTCCTGGTACAACACCAAGTCAAATAAAAAAGGAAGCTTATGTATCACAAAAAAATTTGCAGATTAGTAATTCTATAGCTATGATAGAAAACATTCCAAAGCACACATATTATCATTGACAACCACTGAACTGATCCTCTATCCTAATCTGAAGTATGTACTCCTTGATGTGAGTTCATTTGTAAAACTGAGGCTTGTTAAACATATTAAACTAGCTGCCCCCAACTTATGTTTAACAAAGACTGAGAGTCGCAGCTTCTGGTGTCAGAAATGCTGCAGGAATGGAACATTTTATCCTGCAATACCTGGGGGAACTTGTTTGTACTTGGCAATGCAGATTTCTAATGTGCTTGCACCCATTAAATTTCTTAGCTTGGCCAATCCCAAGTGATGGGTAAAGGAGATATCAGATTTTTTTTCTTTTTTTTCCTGATCGGACAAATTTGAACATCAATTGACTGTCCCTTCAACCATAACGAGGTTTTTGCACCTCAATCAGTTCTCATATAACAGTTTGGAAAGTTTAAGATGTTGAGTAGTTTACACCGACACTCTTAATCAGTGGGTGGACCTCGGTCAAACTTTATCTCATACAACAGTCTGGAAAATTTAAGAAGTTGGTTAGTTTACACTGGCACTCTTAATCAATGGTGGGTTTCTCATATCATCCATCTCTTAGTGGCAGACATGTTAGATTAATTCAAAGAACAGATAAGGTTTCTTGATCATGGAACTCGTAGCTTTAAACTGATTACCCTATGTCCAACTCTTATAATAGTGCAGTTAGATAAAAGGACATACCTTTGAGTGTAAGGACACAGCCATCATCACTATAAGAAGAATGGCAGTCCATGTAATGAAGAATATGTTTAGCGAACATTCAACTTTCCGTCCATAGAAAGCATACATCACCACAATTCCACAAACAGAAGCAAGATAGAAAATTGTTGACATGAACAATCCAAGGGAGCAACTGCCAAAAAACATTATCACAGAATTCTCATTTGCTTACATAAAAATGGGAACAAAGTTTCACAGTACCATTAAACATGAGGAAGAAAAAAATTCAAATTCTGCATTACACAAGCTTTAGGTCATAAGAAACTGAGAATCAGAAAACTGGGATTCGTTCAAGTTATCCAGCCCAGTAGCCATTGTTCAACTATCAGGGTGAAAATCCAACACCCCACCTCCCTGTCTTTTAGATTCTTTTGCTCTGATACCATAAATCCCAATCGGGATTGGGGCATCCAGCAGCATTCTAATACTAGATGCATGCTTTAGTCAAAATCCTTAAAACGTGGATTGTAGATTTTTGTTTCCAAACCATAAAGGCATTTGTAGTGAATTAGAAACATATACCTTTGCTTCTTTTGTTCATCAGGCATCCAGTAATTATTCCACCAGGTGATGAACTCAATTACGCTTACAAGTT